GCGCCGAGCGCTTGCGGCAGCTCGACTGCGACAGGGGCCACGCCATTTCCACGCCGTGGAGCCTGCAGGCCGGCGCGCTGCGAATGAAGACGGACGGCTCGGAGAAGTACGTGTCTTGCGCAGCGACCGTTGCTGCTTGCCCCTTGACTATGCAGGACCGAGCTCCTGGAGCCCCTTGTCTGCAGTTGGGTGACAGCCCTGTAGTGCTAGACTAGAACTCATGCGCTGACAAACCGAAACGAGGCCGCTGTGGAGGTTGTGCTGCATGGCATCTGGGTGACGAACGTGCACGGCAGCCCCAGCTATACACCTTGTAAGCACTGCCGCACCAAAATTGATGCAAGCACACAGGCCTGCAAGAAGAAGGCTGAGGGCTGCGCTTCCACGCCGAATGACGAGGTGGCTGTCCTTGCAACTTTGGACATTGCTGACCACACGGGCTGCTTGGAGCGTGTTCTCGTTGGCGAAGCTGCGCTGTGTGACTTGTCGGCTGCTGAAGATAAGCAGGCACTGCTGCGTATCCTTGACAAAGAGGGGCCCGAGGGGCTGTGCTTTCGAACTCAGCTGGACATTCGCTTGGCCACCAGCTCCAGCATGAACAAGTATCGGCCTGCGACAGACTCTACTGCTGCTACGACCCAACAGGACTCTCAAGACTCCGATAGCAAGGCTTCGAGCACGACAGAGTGTCAGTTCCGGAAAGGCCTACGATGCTCATAGCCGCCCCATGATCAAAAAGGTGCTGCGCCTTGCCGGGTCGAGGCCAGAAGGGGCCGTGTATCCGGTTAGCAGCGTGTACACTGACGTGTCCTACTCCGGCATGGGCATCAAGGTCAACGGCGCAGTGATCTTCCCGGCCTTTGTGACCATCCTGGCACGTGCAAAGGACGCAGGCGAGCTGCGTCGATTTGGCGATCAGAGCGACGAGCACGTCTTGATTCAGCACGCCCAAGTTGTGCCTGTCGACGCGGCTGTTGCAGAGGAAGAGTTCTGCGTGGAAGCCATGCGCAGCTTTGCCCAGTGCTTGCAGTACAGCATGTCCGACGGGACTCCCCGGCTACTTCTCGGAGCGCTGACTCGCGAAGACAAAGCGGGTAAGGTCACCATGGTCGTGGAGCGCATGTTTCGTGTCAAGGACGAGGGCCAAGTGGACAACCTTGCTGCTGAGCGCTCCCTGGTCGTGGAGCTGCAGGCTGACTCCGCGCAGACCACGGCGACGAAGCGTCCGGCTGACGCCCTCGTGGCGCAAACTCCCTCCAAGGTCAAAAGCGGACGCTGGGAAATTCGGAAGGAGACCTAGTAGTAGTAGTAGTAGTAGCTTCGAGTCTTTTCTCACACCATTTGAAACGCGACCAGGAAGGCGTGCTCTTTGCGAATCCCGGGCGCTAACTTCATGTTGACAGGCGGCTGTGAAAAAAGCACGAGGGCACACGAGAACTGAAGCGCATGCGGACTGGATGCTGTGCAGGGGCCGTCAGCAGCTTCTGGTGCAAGACTATGGCGCAGCTTGATACCATGTCGGACTGCGCTTTGCCTGCGCCATGCGACGGGTTGGAGGAATGGATAGAGGACCGCCAGCGAGCCGTCGACAGCTGCTTCAAAAAGCGCAGCGCCTGGTCGGACCTGGACTGCCGAGTGTGGCAGCACGACTATAGCTTCAAGAGCATTGAAGCCTGGCCGCTGGATGCCTGCGTCGTGCACTCCGAGAACGCAAGTCAGAATGTGTTGCTGGGAAGCCTCAAAGCTGCCTGCTCCTTGGCGGACATCCACAGCTGGCTCGCAGTGCGCGTCAACGTAGTGGTCACCCTTTGTGGCCGGGAGATGACCGTCCGGGGCGCTCCGCAGGATTGGCGCCAATACTTCGCAGACTTTGGCGCTCGTCATCTCCAAGGACACCTAGAGGACTGGACTGTAAAGCAGCCGCGCAACAGCGCGGACCAGCTCCGGCAGTGTGCTCTGGACTGCTTCACGCATTGGAAGCACCTCTGTTGCCAGCTTTGGAGGTTGGCCAAACTTCACGTCTGCGAAAAGAAAGACATGCAAGTCTTGTTCCATTGCTTTGGCGGCATCAACCGCAGCGCTGGCGCGCTCTGCGCGTGGCTCATTGTAGCCTACGGCTTTTCTGCTGCGAGCGCAATTGATCTCTTGCTCGAGAAGCGCCCTGGCCTTCGTCCATGGCGTCATCGGAGATACGTGCTGTGGGCTCTGTACGCGGTGGAGCAAAGTCGAACTTCTTGGCGGTTAGACTTCGGCGACTGCAAGGACGACCTTGGCGAGCGTGATCTTTGTGACTCCTCCGGTCAGCATAATTACCTCGTGAGTGAGTAGAGACTGAGCGCGCAGGTAGTGATGCACGGCTTGTTGCTGAGTGCAACGAGCAGGCGAATGTTTTCGAAGCTCTGTTGTCTCAGTGGCAGACTGTCTGCAAGTGCGTGACACCCGCCTCGCACGCGACGAGCAACAACAATGCGAGCGAGTCACGAGCGCTCTAGGCTTTTGCTTCTTGCTTGTGCGCAGGCGGAAAACTCCGGCGCGACGCACGCTCGAGTCAAAGTCCGCCACGCGCAGCCTCACGCGCAGCATCATATGGGTTTGTATTTTTTTAGGGTGGCCGGGCAGGAAGGTTTGAGTACGGGGTATGATTCGCAGGTATGATTCGCGGGTATGATTCGGGGTATGATTCGGGGGTATGATTCGCGGAAGCAGCAGCAGCAGCAGTAGTAGTAGTAGCAGTAGTCGCCGAAGTAGTAGTACTAGTAGAAATATTGTAGTAGTAACAATAGTAGTAGTAGTAGTAGTAGTAGTAGTAGTAGTAGTAGTAGTAACAATACTAGTAGCAGTAGTAGTAGTAGTGATAGTAGTTAGTAGTAGTAGTAGTAGTAGTAGTAGTAGTAGTAGTAGTAGTAGTAGTAGTAGTTGTTGTTGTAGTAGTAGTAGTAGTAGCAGTAGTACTAGTAGTAGTAGTAGTAGTAGTAGCAGTAGTAGCCAAGGTTGTAGTCGTAGTCGTAGTAGTAGTAGTAATAAAGGTAGTAGTCGTAGTAGTAGAAGTAGTAGTAAAGGTTGTAGTCGTAGTAGTTAGTAGTAAGGGTAGCAGAAGCAGAAGCAGAAGCAGTATAGTAGTAGTAGCAGCGGTAGTGGTGATAGTAATACTCGTAGTCGCGGTAGTAGCAGTAGTAGTAGTAGTAGTGGTAGTGGCAGTAGCAGTAGTAGTAGTAATTGGAGTAGTAGGAGTAGTAGTAGTAGTAGTAGCGGCAGTGGCAGTGGTAGTGGTAGTATTGGGTAGCGCTGGTGGTGGTTGTTGTGGAGACAGTGAACAACACAAAACGGTAGAAGAACAGTAGCATCTTGCAGCATACGTTTTAAGGGGTATGATTCGGGGGTATGATTCGGGGTATGATTCGGGGGTATGATTCGGGGGTATGATTCGGGGAGGTCCCACCTTCTGCCTTTTGAAGCAACTCAACACACCAAAAAAAGACAAACCCATATGCCACAGCATGCGCAGCATCGCGCGCAGCGTCACGCACCGTGCCACGCACACCTTGGCGCGCAGCATGCAGACGAGTGGCCCGGAAGCAACATAGGCGACAGGCGAAGTACTTCTCGAAAAGTTGGTAAGAGAAGCTGCCAGACAACATCAGCACATTGAGCAACCTGCGTGACACGCTTGAGCGCTTGCACTGACTCCACGTTTTGCTCTTCGAGGGAAGCCGAGTGAAGCCGGACAACATCAGCAGATTGAACAACTCACATCAGCAGCTTGAGCATTTGTGCTCGTTGCACGATGTTGCACTTGAGTGGAGCCGAGGGAAGCCGAGTGAAGCCGGACAACATCAGCAGATTGAACAACCTACATGACACGCTTGAGCATTTGTGCTGCTTGCACGCTGTTGCACTTGAGTGAAGCCGAGGGAAGCCAAGGGAAGCCGAGTGAAGCCGGACAACATCAGCAGATTGAGCAACCTACATGACACGCTTGTGCGTTTGCATTGAGACCTCGTTATGTAAGTTTCCTGCGCTCCGGTCTCGCTCCGCCCAGGTGGTGGTGGTTTCTCCACGGTGCCTCAGGTGTTGGTTCTCCCCCGCCTCGCCTTCCGCGCCACGCGCCTGGTGGTTGGTTCAAGCTGGCGCGGAGCAATTCTCGCCCTTTGCCGCGTAGAGTTAGCTGCGGAGCAGTTCCTATGTTCCGGCTTGACGCGCGGCGGGGCTCTCAAGCACCTGGGCATGTGCTGCCTGCACGCTGTTGCACTCGAGTGAAGCCAAGGGAAGCCGAGTGAAGCCGGACAACACCAGCAGATTGAACAACCTACATGACATGCTTGAGCATGTGTGCTCATTGAGCGCTGTTGCACTTGAGTGAAGCCGAGGGAAGCCAAGGGAAGCCGAGTGAAGCCGGACAACATCAGCAGATTGAACAACCTCCGTGCCACACTTCTGCATTTGCATTGAGACCTCGCTTTGTAAGTTGCCTGCATGTCCAGGAGCTTCGCTCCAGTTTCGCTTCGCCCAGGTGGTGGTGGTTTCTCCACGGTGCCTCAGGTGTTGGTTCTCCCCCGCCTCGCCTTCCGCACCACGCGCCTGGTGGTTGGTTCAAGCTAGCGCTAATCAACATCGCGGTAGTTTGCTTGCTGCCTGTTTGTTCATGTTGGAGCCGCCCGAAGCATGGTATGCATCATCGAGATCCACATGCCGAGCCACTCGATCTACACGCGCGACATGATGGTGGGCAAGATCGCGATGAGCAGGGAGAACCTGCACTGAGAAGTGCATGAAATTCCTCAACTTTTAGTACCATATTCGAGCTACTGACAAAAAGCGGAATCTGTCTGTGTGCAGCTTGTCGCGACTAGACTACTTGATCGCTAACAACTAACTTGCCTCCATGCTTCCGGGCCACTCGTCCTCTAGTTGATGCTTGGCCCCTCTGTCTAGGACTCAAATGACCCTGCGGCGTGCAACTTGGTTGACGGGTTCCCTTGTGACGAATTGTCGAAGCGGTCCTGCACGACCTCGGCAGTTTGGCTTTTGACCGCTTGCAGCAGAACTGCGTTCACGAGCTCTTGCGCCGCTTGCGCCATGGCAAGGGGCACTTCACCTTTGCCCAAGACTTGGGCCGAGTCCGCTGCAATTGCATCGCCGTCCATGGCCAGACTGACTGGCATCAAATCAAGACATTGGTGGAGGTGAGCGCAGTAGTTCAGTTTACCAAGCCAACCTGGGACTGTTGAGAAATATAGGCAATTTCATATTCTCCACACAATCCAACTGAAGCAACACGCGTCAAAGAGATAAGGTTTGGAGCGATATACGTCTGGCCTGCGTGAAGACTCCAGTCGAGCCTTTCGGAAGGCTGGCTGGACCTAAGGATGGAATCGACAATGAACCGAACCACCTAATAGGGTCCAGGCTTTTGTGCTTTTCTCCTGGTGAAAAACAAACCAGCATCAAAATGAACATAATGGTCTCCTTCAGAACAGCTCGACGCAACGAACAGAAGGAGTTACCCGTCTTGACACAGGCACGGAGTTCTTGTGCAAGTGGTCTCGTGCAAGTGTGCTCGCGCAAGTGTGCTCGCGCAAGTGTGCTCGTGCAAGTGTGCTCGCGCAAGCGCTCCAGCGAGTGTGCTCGTGCAACTGTGCTCGCGCAAGCGCGCTTGTGCGCTCGTGCATGCACGCTCGGCTTGTGGGCTAGCGTGCTCGTGCAAGCGCACTCAATGAGCGAGTGTGCTCATGCAAGTGTGCTCCTGCGAATTTGCCCGCGCAAGCGTGCCTGTGCGAGTTTGCTCATGTGAGTACGCTAGTGGGATTGGCTGGCGATTTTGCCAGAAGAACCCTTCGCAATGCTTTCGGGACAAAGGAGACCAGGGCAGCAAAGCAAAGCGAGCAAAGCGCACTGATCTGGCATTACCAACAGCATATTCTAGCCAGGCAAGGCAAGCCAAGCAAAGCAGGCGTACCCTCGTTCAATCCGCCCCTCTCAGCCCCAAGACATTGCTTATTGGTCTCATGGCCCAGCGGGTTCTTGGCGCTTGCTGCGAGGTTGGCCGCCTTGCAACCCCCAACTGGGTATGTCAAATTTTCCTTTTGGCTTTCCGGATTCCCTCAGCCAAGGAAAAATGGGGCACCTCAAAAAACGCGCACAGCATTGTCTCCGCACTCCACATGTTCGATTATGCTTGTTTCACACACCTACAAGCAGGGGAAGTGGCTTTTACTGCGATGTGCCATGGTCCACATGCAGTCGCGCAGGCATTGCCGACGGATCTAGTCAACCTTATAAAAGCGCCTGCCCCACAAAGTCCCCTCTCAAATAGGACACCCCTTCCTAGTCGATCAGGAGTTTCTACATCCTGGGTTCCGAATAGAAAGGGTCAGAAAAGGAGCGCCTTGCTGTGCTTGTTGGTGTACTCCTTGGCAGAGAAGCCCTTCATGTCCAAGTGCACAGCGTCACTAGCTCCTGAAGAAAAGTCAAGCTGCGCCAATTGCCGCCTTCAGGGGCAATTAGAACATTTCCCAGGCCTACTTTCACAAATTGAGGAATTAGCCAAGCACTGCTGGACTAAAAAGTGCTTCCGAAACGTGTCCTGCTTTGTTCAACAATTCACCCCAACAACGCACTTGTGGTTAACCCTCCATGACCCCAACCCCTTTACGTCCTGCACGCCATGGCTAACCAAGAGCTCAGCGATGCGCAACGCCTGCGCGTGGTTCTAGCAGCGTGCCGCCCAGGGAGGTCGTCTGCTTGTGATTGCACTCGTGCTTTTCAATGAGGTCCTACACAGGGTAGTCAGAACAAGGCAAGCACCATTGTTTTGACACTTGGCCCCTTTCTCTAGGACGCAAATGATCCTGCGGCTTGCAAACGTTCCCTTGAAACGACTGCTCGAAGCTGTCCTGCATGACCTCGGCTGCTTTGCTTTTGACCGCTTGCAGCAGAACAGCGTTCACAAGCTCTTGCGCCGCTTGCGCCGTGGCAAGGGGCACTTCACCTTTGCCCAGAACTTGGGCCGAATTCGCGCGTCGCCCATGGCCAGAATGCCTAGCATCACATCAAGACATAGGCGCAGATGAGCTACCTCGACCTCCGCCACAAAGTACTTCGGGTACTTCGGTTTGCGGATACGGAATGCCAAAAGCTGATTGATGATAGTCTCCGAGTGTCCATGCAAGAAAGTGCAGAGCGTCATGACATGGTATGGGAACCACCCGCGGTGAACCAGCAACAAGAGTCATGATAGAAGCCATTTGCAGTTGGACACCGTTCAAAGCAATCTTGTGGGCATCCCCCACTTAGCTGGCCTCTTTCGCTGTTTTCGCACCTCCAGCTTGAGCCCACACTTTGGCAAATGAACAGCCGCGCTGTAGGCTTCTCACATTGGCTTCAGCCAGAGAGTGGGTTCAAAGGCGCTCTTGCACGCATCCAATCAGAAGAAAACATACAAGGTGTTTTAAGACAGTACTCCTCACACATCAGTCCTAGGCACCTGGTTGCATCTACAAACAACGTCGACGTTGCGCTTCAGCTTTCTTGCTTCAGTCGTCGTCTAAGAGCGCATCCAGCAATGACGTTGACCTGCCCTTCAGCTGCCACGGCCTTGCAGCCGCATCTGCAGCCGCAGCAGGTTCTGCAGCGGGCGCGAAGGACGCAGAGGGCACGGACGCAGGCGCCACAGGGCGCACAAAGCCTTCAGTGGACTCCAGCGGCGCAGCAGGCGCAGCAGCAGGCGCAGCATCAGGCGCAGCAGCAGGCGGCGCAGCAGGCAGCGCAGCAGGCGGCGCAGCAGGCGGCGCAGCAGGCCAGGAGGGCACAGAAGGCGTCTTTGATGCGGCCGCCGTGGAAGACGAAGAGGCAGGTACCAGAGCGGCGAGGAGCTTGCTCATGCGCTCCTGGCAGTCGCTCACAAAAATATTGTTCTGTGTCCCCTTGCAAAATACCCTCGTGAAAACCACCCGGGATTGCTGACATGCTCAAAACATATTTTCGAACACGAACATTTAACTTGAAACTGTCACTAAAGAAATTGCCTCATGCAGTCAGCTCCGGACTTGCACACTCTTCACCGAGGAGAGGGAACATGTCGAAGGGCCACTGCACTGAAGGTGAAGCAACCCCGCAAAGCGGAAGGCTTCTGTTGACATCGCGCTGTTTAGAGGCCAAACGCAACGCGCCTCTTGCCTCTGACTGCGCGTGGGGGAAGTTAGCTACGTCGGTTTTCGCTGTGGCACATTGCGCCTGACTAGCCGTGAAAACAGCAGAACCCTCGCAAAACTGTTGATGCCTCGGTTTGGGTGAGCGAGCGCGCAGGCCTTGCGGGAGGCACCCGTCTTCCACGCCTAGAAGAATTACAAACAACGGTGAACGACAGGTGACTGTCTAGGGGCGAGCTGAGCTTACCCTGCTCGGGTCTTATGTGAAAAGTATGGGTCCTAGGACTGGTTGACAACTCAGGGTGGGCCTGCAGCTGTCCGAGAACCACCCCACCATCAGCTTCACTTCCGCGCCATGCCATGTTATGTAGCCACAAGAGCGAGTCCGATTCTAGCGGGTCAACGTTCACTCTCACGGGATGTCTTCAGCAAGGGGTTTCACGCGCGCTGCTGTCAAGTCAGCTCTCGTTACACGCTGCAAAGCAACCGCAAGAGCGACTGCTGCTTCTTAGGGTCAAGAACAAGGCCAAGGCTGGCACACACTTTGCTAATAGCAGCTTGGCGAGAGCCGCCTCTGCCTGTCGGCTTCAAAGCGGCACGCGCAGGGCTGCAAAGCACGCTGACAAGGGGCAAACCTGCGAAACACATCTCGGACGGCCCGGACTTTTGCAAACTTGGGGGGCGAAGGCAGGCTTGCGGCCGGCCGCAATTGCAACTTGCGGAGGCTACGTCTGCTTGCCTGCCCAAGCAGCGTGCCCCTGGCCTCGTCTTCTCACAGCAAGGTGAAGCCACTTGCGACAGACTTGGCACTGACCTGCCTTTCATATGGCGCGCCGGCAATGCGCTGACAGAAACCTGTCCGGCTGCAGCTCGTGATCACGCGGCCCGTGCAGCGTCACTGCGGGCGATCCTCCCTGAACTTCCCGTCAGAGACGGGGTCAAGGTCCTCAACGTTTTCAAGCAGTTCTCTCTTTCGCACATCTGACCCGTGCCACAAACGCATACTTGAAGCAAGTGCAATTTGCAGGAGCTGGTCCCGGGGCAGAGGTAGGCCATCCGCGACCGAAGCTCCCGACATTGCCTGCTTGGCGCAAGTTGAGACGTTTGCGGAAAGCTCAAGCACCTCTTCTGCAAAGCAAAAGAAGCCTGCAAAGTCTGCTGCAGTTCGATCCCCAATCGCTGCTATAAAAGAGTGAAAGAGGGGGATTCGAGACAAATGGCCAGCTGCTTGCTTCACTGTTTCGGGTTTGGGCTCTCGATCTTGGATTTAGGGCCTGGAAGCTTTTACTGCTTTAGATTTGGGTGATCTAAGGATGTTCAAGCTTTGCGGGCTTAGGGACTTTGAAAACACGAGTGAAAGCTTCAGCCTACGCGAAATCACAAAACTATGGTACGTCTTGGTTGCGCCTGCCATGGGAATCCGTAATGTAAAACCAAAAAAAAAAAGAACGTGCCCTTCCAACGCCCGTCGGAATGGGCCATTGTCTGGGCGGATGCCCTTTCAACCCGCCATGCTACAGGTTAGCGTCACAGTTAGCGTCCACTCGTTCTCTCCTGCTCCCCAGCACTTCCTCGAAAGGCAAGCAGGCGAATGTCCAGCCTGGCATCCGTGCCAAAGCTCAATCGCCCCAAGCGAACAGCCCAGAAGTCAGGTTTGACCTTGCCCAACATTGGTCGCTGCTGTTTGAACATATATGAAGAGTCCGTCGATGTCACGGCTGTGCCGCTAGTGAGTCCACCCCTTCCCACCCCTTCCCACCGCAGACACCCCCGGACACCTCCAGACATCTCGGCACTGCCTCACTCGCTCTCCCCGAAAGCCGAACGCCTGGCAAAGACCTCTCGGCCCAGCTCTAGCGCCAGCAGCTCCAGTGCCGTGGCCAGGGCACCCACGATGAGCTCGGGGCAACAGCCGACAAAAAATCGCTGATTTGCGTTCCAACTGGACGTGGCGAAACTCCCACGTGAACCTAGCCTTAACCCCAGAATCTCCACCAGAGAGCACGTGTCCAGTCCCGATTGAAGGCGACCAAAACGCAAACCCCCACTCAAACGGGTCAAGTTGCTCGTCCTTGCTGCCTGCTCTGAGTTCAAAGTGATGTTCCACACTTCTCAGTGTTGAAAGTACAAAATAGGGAGCTATTACATGATGGCCGGCTAGCGTCCTATTGCTTTAAAGACCGTCCAACAAGAGCGTGCCCAGGAAAAAAAATACTCGGGTGCAATCATGCGCGTTAATTTTATTGGAAACTGCTCTGAAATTGTGTTTTGCATTACAAACAAATTGCCATGCTAGCGAGTCAGACCAAGTCAAAGATTTCTTCAAGTGCTGCAACTTTTCTCCAAACATCCTGCCTCTGCCCGATTGTTGAAGACACCACCTGCAAATGGCTTGCTTGCAAATTGCGGACCCACAAAACATGCTATGCCGCAATGCCTCCCCCCCCGCCATCGAATCCATTGTCCCTTCGCGTACGCCTTCGAAATCCCCCGGTTTGCCCAAAAAGACAAATCCCCGAAGGCGCCAGCTCAAGCCAGACGCATTCGAAGCCACGCCCAAGGGTAGGCCTCCCAGAGGCATCAGGAAGATCCGGCGGGTGCCAGGTTTCGAGCCCAGGGCAGCCAGGCGCAGCGCGCCAAAGTACCTGACTCTCCGCCAGAGAGTCCCCTCGAACTGGCGGAAGCGCATCGAAATGGCTAGTTGGCTTCAACCCGTGGAACCATGTTCAAAAGCTCCGACTCTCTCCACGCGCACTGAGCGGCAATCACCAAACGCCCAACCTCCTCCTGCGAGACTGCAGGACATGCTTCCAGCTGACCAAGCAACACCTCTGAAGACATGGCACACGAGCACCCAGTACCGGCCATTCATTGCAGGTCCTGAAAGGCCACATCCAGGTTCCCCGCGTTGAGGTAAGCCTCGTCAACCGCGGGTCTTGCGATGGAGGTTACTGCCAATCCGCCGCAGCATTTGGACAGAAGCCCGCCACTGGCCGCCAATTTTACATAAGTAAGCCCACCGGTGCCGCACCAACTTTAGCTTTCGGCTGGAATGTCGGTGGCAAAGCAGGCCATCTGTGCGGAACCGTGGGCCTGTTCATGGAGCCCAAAATAGTTGGTTCACGGAGTCAACAGGTCAGCGCCGAACTCTACCGGGTCTACTGCCCTGCACCGATCCCCTCCCAGCTTCCCCGAGCCTTCACCGGGATGGCAGAAGCATAGACCATGTTGACCTTGTGCTTCGCCGTGCTCAGGTTTTGGAGGTCTGGCCTGCGCGAAAGGTTCGAGGCTCGAGTCAAGCCTTTCAGGTCATGGGAATGGGGTTAATCACCTACCAGCTGGCACAGGATTCTGTCCATACATCGTAGCGAAAAACAAACCAGCATCAAAATGAGCATAACGGTCTCCTTCAAAACAGCTCCACACCCAAGGAGCAGAAGGGCTACCCATCTTGACACAGGCGCGTGTGTGGCCCGTTCTGACAAGCCTGGAGGGATCCTGCCCAAAGCAAATCCACATCGCTGATCACAACAGATCCGTTTCGCCGTTGTTGTTTTTTTAGGACACAGGCGTACCTGGCCAATGTCTTTCCTTGCTTGACCAACGCTGTTGATTTCAACGCGCAGTTGTGCAGCGTATGACTGACATTGCTGTTTCAATGCGCATGCAAAGGGGGCAATCTTGTGTCATTCACGCAGCATATTTTTGCCTAGCATGGCTTGGAGTAGGACTTTGAAACACTCCTCACAAGCAACGGAAAGCAGAGCTCAGTTGATTAGCTCAGTCCCGTCGCTTGTTCGCTCCGCTGCATCCTTCTTTCAGCCAGAACCTCGCCTCAGGCCTGAGCAGGGTACCTCCTGGCGGGGCGAATCTGGCAAAGTCCGAAAGTGGCTTGGAACCGAAACGCGTTCTGCTTTCCGAGGTTCAGCATAGAACTGTCTTCCTGGAAGGTTCTGGCATGGTTCTGGCAGGGTTCTGGCATGGTTCGGCTGATTGGTGGGCCTTCCGATTGCCGTCTCGCCGCCTCTCCTGGGCGCAGAGGCAGCGCAGCCAATGCAGCTGCTCCCGCAGCACCTGCAGAAGGCCTGCCTGCCGTTCGTTCCCCACCGCACCCGACTTCGATCTGGGGGGCTGCGGGGTGGGCAGTTGATGTTGCTTCCAATTGCCCTCAGCTCATGGTGGTTGCGATTGTGTCACCTGAAAAATAAACATTGCAAGAAGTCACGCACAAATCCAAGGAGGGCACTCAAGGTTATCTTCCATGCTGGCGGTTGTCAACCAAACCTGCTGTTGGCTGAAATGTGGGACCGGAAGATCAGCAGTGCCGCAGTAACTGAGCATTCAAGATATTCAAGCTGTTGACCCCAGCATCAGGCCTCGGGGACGTTGCAAACCACACAGTACGATTGTTTGTCCAAATATAATCTGTTCACACAAAGCAAAGGCCTGACTAGACAGCCACAAACCAGGCCGTTCGTACCTTTCGTACCATGGCACGTTTGAAAGATATGAGCGCGAGCCAACCTCTATTGTCAGACTGGGCCTTAATGGCCCAGCCAACATTTGCAAACGAGGCTCGGAAATGAAGGGTGTTCAATGCTTGCAGGTCGAACACAATGCCAAAAAGCTGGATTAGCATGTTGCCAGCAAACAGAAAGAATGGCTAAAGCATTCTGACTGAAAAGCTGAAACACCAGGCTGTCTTGGCTTGCTCTGTGCCTTTAAAAACAAGTGCCGTCTCAAATTTCCTCACGGGGATGTCTACCTTAGGCTCCATTCCTTTCTCGCCCCGCCTGATCATCTTTGGAACAGTACGGCACTGCCATGTACCCATTCCGCACGTGGAGGTTGTACCTTTGCCCGCACCCTCCGCACCCTGTGGCTTCATGTATTCAGACAACAAGTTTACAGCCTCCAGGATAGGATGTTGGTAGCAGAAAGTCTTCAAACACTGTTCTTCCTCTATCAACTTGTACACGTACACGCTTCCCTTGATACAAATGCGCAAACAAGCAAGTTGACGCATCCTGCCACTCCATATACCAAATCCTGCCTTTCATGCTGAGGGGCGCTGTGGCTGTGTTGGATTTTTGAATTTGTCGCTGACTGTGAAAGCCAGCAAGGAAGAGACCCAAAGCGTCGGCCCATTTGTCTTCGCCCTACCAGGCTCCCGGCCCCTTGGGCCAGGCGGGCGATGCCTTCGCCTTGGCCAGCAGGAGGTCGGTTGCATCCAGGCCCTTTGGCCTGGCACTCCCCAAAACCAAACGGTTAAGCCAGCCGAGGAAAAGGCAAAACCAAATACAAGGTCAAAAACAAAACTCGAGGAATTACAGGAAAACTTTCCTGGAGAATGTTCCGGAAGGAAAACACTCAAACATTGGACGATGGAAAGATGTCTCAGCTTGGTAGTCGCAACAGTCGCGTTTACAGGTCAGAACAAAGCCCTTGCGACAACCTGGTGCATCAGCTTCCTAGGCAAGCCGGCCTGGTGTCACAGGCAGCATTGTCCAGGATGAATTGGCCCACCTGGCTGTGCTCGCGTGCTCTTCCTTTGCGGCTCGAACTGACGTCATCACAGACATGCTTGGTGCCTTAACGATCAAATGGATTGGTTTTTGCTTGAACAGCCGCCCATTGTTCAACTTTGTCAAGCTGCTCCCTTTGGTCCGACAGCGGCTTTCAAAATGTGCGTGTGACAAATGACTCATGCACTATGCACAGGTCCCGCGCCGCTGGATGCACTGCCAGCTGGCCCCGAGGGCCACCCGTTTTGTCATACCTGGATTCTGGATGGCCAACTTGAAACATGATCGTTCTTCCAAATGCAACCTCGTACTGATACTCATGAAGTTTATCAATGGAGGCTACGCGTCCAAAGGTGCCCACACACTCAAGTACTTCCCGAATGAGCTTGGATACAAGCCCCAGAAGGGTGTCTCGTGGTGCGTGAGTATTTTCGGAGTTGGCATCCTCAGCAGCGCACTTGTACTTGTTGATCTGCTCCACCTTTGCAGTTGACTGACGGTGCAAAATGAATTGCCAAGCTCTTGCTGTGAATGCTCGCATCCTCTTGTCGTCCAAAAAACAGCCCCTTCTTCATCTTCAGGGAAAAACACATTCCTTCAAGCATGGGCCGACAGCAACGATATGTTTGGATGAATGAAGCAATCCTTCTGCCCCGATGCCTCAAGCCTACAAGGCTCGCACCACGTAGTTATGCATCGGATACCTGGATGTTGGCATTCAAGTCTGCGGCCAAGTGTCATGATTGGCGTCAGCCACAGGCAGGTGCAACAACGCTTTGTCGGAAAAAGTTCCTGCTGTCATAACGCGTGTCACTTGTTGCAGCAGTTATCCAGGTAACTTTTTGCAGCAGCTTGCTGGGTCCTAGCACACTGCTGCAAAAACTGCACACTCAGTCTATGCACCATGAACCCAAGCCGGTACAAGTATGTGCCAAAATTGGTTTTCCTTGACCGAGCCACCCCGACAAGGGTACCCTCAAAAAAAGCAGATCCAAGTCTTCTGACCCCACGGGTCCCACTGACCCCTTGACTCCGACATGCGCACTCTGCCCCGTTGAGCTGCGAGGGCAGCACGAAGAAGGCGCCCTCATTGCTAGGCTTCCTGCGTCGCAAAATGAGAAACGACCCCAAGCCTTTGGGTTGGGGGTTCATGTTAAGACCCGAGTCCCGGTGCAATACTCAGCACGGCGAAATAAATGCACGAGATTGCCTGAAGTTGCCCCACTCTCATAATCGCGCCCGAAGCACTGGATCTCTTCCATGATCTCGCCGCTGACAACTGTCACCTGCCTAAGGCCCAAGGACCGCACGAATCTGCACGCAAAAGGAAGGGGGCAGTCAGCTCTAAGCCAAATGCCCAGCGATTGCGGTCCCCTATTGAGAGTATCAAGCTGCAAAAACTGATGTGTCCCATCTGAAATGCATTGCATGACCTGTCGGGGATCGAGTCATGCTAGATGGTGCAGGCCACCAAGGTGTGCCAAGCATGTTGCTGGAACTAGATTGCATCCAACTAAGGAGCGGCCAGTCTCATGACGACTGCCCTCAAGCAACAGTTGCTGCAAGGGCTAGAAACCTTACGGTCCAAGAAAGTTTGAAGGCATGGCAAATCAGCGCAAGGTGCAAGTAAGAACAGGATAAGCAAAGCTGGGAAGCCCAAAAGATCGATTCTTGGCGAGAGCCTTGCGCATAGCCAACGGGCATGTGATTCTTGAGATACCCGGTCCAAATCCCGAAAGTCCGTGCCACCCGGCGGAATCAAGGCAGACGGCCCTTGCGTTGCCAGGAGACTTGGCAAAAAAGGCCTGCGGCGCTTTCTGCGAAGGAAGGAGCAAGTCCCAAAAAGCTTGGCGCTGGAAGCTTAGATCGCTCAAATTTACCTTGCAAGCGTGTGGAAGATGTTGAAAGTTCAACCTCCTACAAAATAGCTTGGCACTCTGGAAACTGCGCTTTGCTAGTACGGAGACAGGCTCCGCAATTCCAAGATGAACCATGAGCAATGTCTGAGACTGAAAAAGTTGGCCTTTCTCCAACAGGCTCGGAGCTGAAGACACCCACCGCCTCAGAGGAACATATACACGAACATCCATGTCCCCAAACTTGCCAAACGTCCAAGTCTTAGATCGGTATTCAAACATGCATTTGAAATACGATGTTTGGGCCTCTGGCGGCACCTCCGCTGCGGATGTGAGCGGAGGCGTGGTCAAAGGTGTAGCTGCCTAGACTGCCCGCGTCCATGAAACTCAAAAGGATGGGGAGGGAGGCGAGGAAGCAACAAAAACCAAGCCACACGTCTTGTGAGAGCTCAAGTTGGATCCTCCGTGGACTGGCACATTGGGTCTGTGTCAAATCGGGATGCGGAGCCATACACACTACCCGCAGCTCCTGCACCCCCAGCTTCACTTGGCCTCTCGCCTTTCAGGACGCCGCCCGGCGAGGACAGCTCGAAGTATCCCTAGGCCGGCAAAGCATATCTGTGGGCGCTGCGCGTAATCTGGCAAGCCTTAGCTTAGCAGCTTGAGGGGCAAAAAGTCCTTCAAGAAACTCCAACGATTGCGTGAATCGGGCACCTACCTGTGCCCAGGCAATTGGAAAAGTTCGGGTAAACAACCCACAAAAGAAAGGCCCCAAAGCAGTAACCAATCCCCGGTCCCAAAGATCAGGGTTTCCCAACAACCACAGCCCAAACCAAAAGGGAAAAGGATACCCGCAACCTGGGTCGACAATGAACCGAACGAGCACTCCCCACCAACCTGCCCCGGGCCGAAGTCTCTTTCTCCTCCGACCTCCGACACGCGGGGGATCGACGCGGGGACCCGGCGACGCTCATCCGAGGTCGCGCCAGATGCCAAATATCACGGGATCGTCACTAACGTGACATACCCGATGAAACTTTCAACACATGGCTAATCACACACCCCTCACGAGGAGTCCGTCTTTGACGGTCGGAGCATCAGGTAACCAAAGCCGTGCAAGTGTAAAACGACAAGTACAAGTCGTACCGGGCGCGCTTCCGAACAGAAGTGGTCATCCGCCGTCCCCATTGAGCCGCATGATGTGGATTGGCCTTGAAGTAGTCCGTCAACTCAAACAGCCTATCGGTTTGATTGGTCGCGACGAGCAACTTCGCCACCCACTTCTCGACAAACGCGTCATCGCAGACACGTGACCGTGATGAAACAGCACACGACTCATGTCGCCCCACGCTCTCATCACGCCTCGGCCGCGGAAATGTATGGCGGCAACCTGATCCCGCCTTGCACCGTCATCCGCAAATCCGGGTTCATGGAGTAGGAGACCATGGTCTTCTTAATGACAGCCACCTCCCCCGCCGGCCAAGTCTTCGGGCTGAACTGAGTTGGAGACGTATCCACCAAACCAGCCTCAGGATTCGGGACGAACCCAGAATAGAAAACTGGGAGCGCCACCCTGAACACAGATTCATCCGGGATGATTTCCGCGCATGTGAGTCACAAATCTCCTTCTCACATTCAGTGCAATGATACATCGGCACCTCCTGGGCACTCTTGCGACACACACGCACTGCATCTCATCTTCAAGAGTTGACAGTCCACGCGCTGCCTGTCATCCCCCATGCATGACACAACCTTCACTCACAGACAACGCATGTATACTGAGCAGAAGGATGCCTCCTCGCTGCAGCCGCTATCGCGGGGAGTCCTGACTGGATGAATGCCTATCGGCCGCCCTGACAGGAGACCTGGAACTTGCAACATACCTGTTCGACTTGACCCCCCTGTCGCAAGACGACGTCATCGGGCTCCTCCTTCTGTCTCCTTGGGGATTTCTGGCATGCCCAGGCGGAGAGTGTGACCGGCCCCCTTCCCCAACGGGAGACGTCTGCTTGGACGATTGTTTGACCTGACTTCACTGAAAACACCTGGCGAAACGGATCTGATGCCGGAACCGGCCTTTTTTTTTATCGGCTATTGCCCGTCCTGACGCACACCCTGATCCACAGCTTGCTCAGTGCGGTCAGGCGCGGGCGACCTAACCCGGTGAGAACCATGAAAGGCAACGATTAGTCTGCCTCTGCAACATGGCATTGACTCCTCAAGCCCTTGTCTGCATGTCTTCTTCAACAGCAGTGATCCTTCTACTACTGTTGCGTCCCAATTTTGAGGGTTGTCAGCACTCCCCATCAGGTTGGGGCCAGTCAGCATGCCCTGATCGGGGTCCTGATAGCTCCTTCAACGTGCTCCAGATATCCTTCAATCGTGGTCATACGGCCATTGGCCAACCTTGCACCGCATTGGTACGTTGAGCCTCATTCCTGTGCTTAGCACAAGGATTTTGATCTTCCTAAAAATCACCTGAATTGACTTTTGTGCTTCTCGAGGAATCGCCACGTCGCCCGCCTGAGTAGGCAAAGCCGGTCAGGAACGAACAACCATTCCAGGGTCACCCCTCTTCACGACCTGCCAGACGTTCTCCATATGCATCATACGGCGGCCCTGCTCTCATCCTCGAGCTTCTGGATCTTCTTCATTGTCCACAACCCTTCTCAAGAGAGGAGAGCCTCATTGTCACATCTCGGACTGTTTCCTCAGCGCGCCCTGAGCAGCCAGACCCTCTAACGAGGAAAGCCGGTTCTCGAACTCCCCAATTCCTTTTTAAAAAAACACATCTCGTCCTCAGCAGCACGCTGTCCCCGGCGCCTCGCACGTTCCCGCACAAGGTCGCCAATCTCCTCAACTCTCCTAGCGGATCTCTGAGCACACTGCTGAACTTTGCCTCAACTGCAATGTCTTGCTCCTCAATCGCAATCCTAACGAACTGCTGACATCACCTCTGCGACCACCGCCTGCCGAACTTTCCTCAAAACCCTCATAGACGAAGTCCGGCACACCTTCACCAAGTCGGGGGCGCTAGGATGGCCTCCTCATCCACGACGCTCCTAGTGCTTCGTGGGGTCGACGTCATAGTGCTTGTAGTTGTAGGTCGCGAGCACGCAGGAAAGCCTACGGCTGATAACCTGTAACTCGGGCACGGACCTGTGCCCAGGCAATTGGAGAAGTTGGGGTAAACAAGCCACAAAAGAAAGGCCCAGAACAGTAACCAATCCCCGGTCCCAAAGATCAGGGTTTCCCACACACAAGTGACCAAACAACCACAATCCAAGCCAAAAGGGAAAAGGATACCGGCAACTGGGTCTCCCCACCAACCTGCCCCGGGCTGAAGTCTCTTTCTCCTCCGACACGTGGGTGATCGACGCGGGGACCCGGCGACGCTCATCCGGATCCGAACTTGAGCCACATATCACGGGATCGTCACTAACGTGACATACCCGATGATACTTTCAACACATGGCTAATCACAGATTGACATGACATGTATAGTTGGAGCATCAAACGCCCTCCAATTTGATTGTAGATCCAAGAAACTTTAAGCAATCTCCGTGCAACCAATCTGGACACAAACCCAGTCCTCGCACAGTCGCCTTTTTTCCCTTCAGCCGCGCAACGTCACATGGATCACATCCTCACCCCTGACCCGCCTCACTGGGCTTTGCATCTGTTGGAGCATCGTCTGCCGGTGCATCTCTGGGCAAGTCATCTGTTGGCGCGTCATCTGTCGGCGCATCATCTGTCGGCACGTCATCTGTCGGCGCAATGTCAGCGGGCTCAGGCTCATCCCAGGCATCCTGAAACAAAAGTAGACAGGAGCAATTGCTGACAAATATATAACAAATTAATATATATATATATATAATATGTATATACATAAATATATATATATATATATATATACATAGAGCAAGACACATTGTGAAAAAATGTCCAAACAAACTGGCTCCCCTGAAAATTGTGGGGCACCGCACCTGCCGATCCACATGCTCCGCCTCCTGCAAAGGGATGGACAACTAGAGTCATTGGAACTTGAGTGCTTGGATTTGGTCGCAACACATCACCCGCCAACGCTTGGAACATTGTGGAAAACAATGAACAAATAATCAAGCTGAACCTGGAAGAAACACTCGTGACCAGCACGCTGCTACGCATTCCGTTCAGAATGTGAATAGCACCAGCTTACACGCCCACCCGACTGTAAGAACGAGAAAGTGAGTTGTTGCAACGCATGTTCCCCGAAAGCACGCAATGTCTTGAAACGAACAGCCACAAGGTACGAGTACGGAGTGCACGGGTGGCTTTGTTGGAGTTGTTTGCATCGCCAAGTGCCCGAGAGGCAAAAGCGCAGAGCCCTCGAGCTGTCAAGAAACGCCCGCGTGCGGGGATCTGAATCGAGAGTTCGGAAGTTCGGGCCCCGTACAGCACCTCATAACTCATAATCATGCATTTCATTGCATTTCAAGAGGGCACACTCCAATGCGGAAACCTACCCAACAGACTGGCTCGCCTGCGGCTTCAACATTGGGCTGCTCTGCGGCGTCTCACCTTCAGACGGAAACCAGGCGCTTGCTTGGCTTGATGGAGCTTTGTATATAAGTTGATGCAGCAAGTTTCTCGCAACATTCAGTCGCATGCCACGTAATGTTCTCAGCCAAAGCAAATGCATGCCAAACTTCGAATATAGAAAAAACGCTGATTTGGTTGTATACAGTTGGATGCCCGCACAGGAGTCAGGAGTCTCACAAACAAGTCTTAATTTTGGGTTTTTCTGGCAACCCATGTCATATTGGTGTCTTTTGGTTTCCCGTTATAATGAGCTCGAAAAGGGGATAGTACCCCCAAAAAGAGACAGGCCCATGTTTAGTGCTCCCAGTTGAATTTGGCCACTTTGGCGCCCCCGCTTTGCTCTGCGCCGCTGAACGACGAGCCAGCCTGGGTCGCAGGCTGACAAAAGCTGCCGAATCATTTGACAGTGCGCAAGCATTGTCAATGAACCCTGAACCCTCCTAAGCCCCGGATGTCAAGAAATTTGACAAATCCCTCCCAATGTTGCCTTTTGGGAACTACTCTTGCAGTGATTGTTCCACCGATTGGGTTCAGTTGACAGCCTGGTCTTTTGGTCCACTGACGCCCCCAAAGGGTGCCCGGCCCGGGTTTGCCGCGGGCGCCGGCCTTTACCCCTCCTGCGCGCAGCGAGGCGGGACCCTGGGAACAAGGGCAAAACCGCCTGTCGGAAAGAGGCACGGAATCACAAATGCCCTGAATTTTGCTGGCTACCTGCAAGCTTTTCAGACCGAGTCATTTCGCCGCCTCTAACTGCCTGCCAAATGGTATTGGACATTCTGATCCTGGTGTTTAGGCTCCAATATGTTCCCTGAAAGCAGCAAACAACCATCAATTTGATGGGCCTCATGTCGCATGACCGTGTCATCTTTCTTATTCAAGCCTTCTTCATTAGCTTAGCGTGTCGCCGGAGTTTCCTACCCTTCTGCCCGCTGCCCACCTGTTGCCCTTGCCGCGCTCGCCACGATCGCCACACTCGCCTGCACATTGCGTGGCGGACCACAAGCTTGTGCTTCAATCG